GGGGATGAGGAGTGTGAAGGCTGGGGAGCGCGGTGCCCGTCCCAACGTGCAGGGTGGGTGTCTGCGTGCGGCAGCACCGCGGTTCTCCAGTTCGGTGCTGGCGCTCCGGGAGGGGTGCCGCTCCCATCCCAAGCCTGCTGAGCAGCTGCCGGTCCCACTCCCAGAGCTCAAGTGAAGCTCCTGGAGATGGAGGAGACATCAGCGGGCTCCAGCAGCTCCCGGGGCGTTGCTGTGTTTTGGGGTTTCCGTTCCAGCCCCGTCGGAAGGGGCTCGTGGTGGTGCCGCGGGGTCTGTTCCTCTCCCCCGGTGCTGACCGTGCAGCCGCAGCTTCCCTGCTGTCCCCGTGCCAGGACATCTTGAATGACCTCGGAGCACCTTCCAGTGCTGAAAGGAGGCTACGGGAGAGCTGGGAGGGGCTCTGGATCAGGGGTGCAGGGACAGGGCGAGGGGGAAGGTGTTGAAGCTGAAAGGGGTCTGACTGGTGTGTGCAGGGACCTGATGGGGGTCCGGAGCCGGACCCTTCTCCGTGGTGCCCCCTGAGAGTGCGAGAAGAGAGGGGAACAGACCAAAGTGCAGGAAATTTGGTTTAAACACAGGAAAAGCCCTTTTCCAGTGAAGGTGATCACCCCTAGAGCAGGCTGCTCAGGGACATTTGGTGTCTCCATCCCTGGGGATGTGCAAGATGTGACCAGACGCGGTCCTGGCAGGGTCCAGGGTCCTGGGCAGGGGTTGGAGCAGACAATCTGGGGGGTCCCAACCCACCCCCATCATTCCTGCCCTGCTCCGGAGGGGGTTCCTCTCTCTGGTGGCTTCCCGGGGCGGGGGTCCTCATCCTGACTGTCTAACGCTGACTTTAATTTGTTAAAGCTCATCTCCCGTTAGCTAAACTGACGCGTTTGAGCTCCTGTCCCGCGGGGCTGGTTGCTGAGTCCCTGAGCTGATGAACCTCTTTGTTGCTTGTTACCAAGCAGCGTAGCTCGTCGTTTGCCGTGTCTGCTGCAGGTCGGTCCTTTCCCTCCTCCCCTGCTCCCCCAGGACAGGTGACCGGCTCCCTGTGTCCCGGGCGGGCGGCAGGACCTGGCTGTGCTGCGAAGGCGCTTTTCCTTCTCTCTGCCCTGGTGTCCAGGGCGGGTTCCCGGCTTGTTTCCCCGCTGACTGATTGGATCGTCTGCCCCAGCAGAGGCCGGGGTATTTTCTGTCTCCATATCTGTCTCTCCTCGCCTGCGGATCATTTCTCTGCCGGGCACCTCGGGGGGCTGGCGGTGGCCGTCCCCTCGCAGCCCAGATCAGCTGCTGTCACCTCCCTGGGGAGAGCCAGGAGAGATGCTGTTGTCCGAGGCGTTGTCCAGCTCTCCAGTGTTGGCTGCGGGCTCCCAGGGTCTTCTCACGGGCGTGTGCTTGCCTGCAGGAAGCCAAGGATGCCCTGGAAGCCAAGGAGCGGTACATGGAGGAGATGGCGGACACCGCCGACGCCATCGAGATGGCCACGCTGGACAAGGAGATGGCGGAGGAGCGCGCCGAGTCCCTGCAGCAGGAGGTGGACTCCCTGAAGGAGAAGGTGGAATATCTCACCATGGATCTGGAGATCCTGAAGCACGAGATCGAAGAGAAAGGTGGGGAGGGGTCAGCTTCTGGGGGGTCCCAGCCTGGGTCCCACGGCGTGGGGGGCTCCTCGCTGGGGAGGG